CACATTGTAGCTGAGGCTTTGATGGGGTACCTGGAGAACAACGAAATCCTCGTTCCGGAGCAGCACGGATTCCATCAAAATCGCTCCTGTACCACTGATCTGTTGATTGCCCGTGCAAGCTGGACGGAATCTGTGGACGCTGGTGTAGGAGTCGACGTGGTCTTGTTGGATTTATCAAAGGCATTCGACCGTATAGACCATCGCATTCACCTCCACAAACTTTAGAAATATGGTATCGGCGACCCTTTTCTGTTCTGGATAGGAGACTTTCTTGTGCAACTTCACCAGAACGTGAGGGTTAGAAGCAACCTGTCGGAATCCATCGAAGTTCAGTGCGGCGTACCTCAAGGCTCGGTACTTGGACCCCGCCTGTTCCTGGTTTTCATAAATGATCTCGCGAGCGTGCTATCTTCTAACTGTTTGCTATTTGCTGATGATCTAAAGGTATGGCGTACTATAGCTGCAGTGGAGGATCACACAGTGTTACAGGAGGACCTGGACAAAGCGTACACATGGTCCATCGAGAACATGCTGCATTTCAACGTCACCAAGTGCAAAGTTCTCAGCATACGGCACAAGAGTATGCACAAGTACCGCCTAGGACCACAAATTCTACAGCGGGCTTCTCACGAGTGCGATCTCGGCGTGATAGTTCAAGATGACCTCGGTTGTTTGAGGCAGACTGAAAAGGCAGCTAAGAAAGCAAACCAGTACCTCGGCCTTCTTCGCAGAGCTTTCGGGAAGTTTGACCCTTCAGTCTTTCCAAAAATGCTTAGTGCGTACGTGAGGCCGCACGCGGAATACGCTATTCAAGCGTGGCAACCCTGGCTCAAGCACCATCTCATCGCGCTCGATACTGCACAATGTAGGGTAAGGAAGAGCGCCAGAGGTTTGACTAGCCTCCCCTACCCATTCAGGCTGAAGACTCTCAAAATATCCAGTGGACATTATCGGCGTCTAAGGGGCGATCTCATAATGGTGTACCTGGTCCTGAGAAACACCAACCACCCATGCCATTCCCTGCTGATACTCAGTCAAAACACCTCACCAAGAGATCACCAGTTTAAGTTGGTCACGAATTACAGACGCCTGGAATGTCGGGGAAACTATTTCTCCCTTCGACTGTCACAGCAATGGAACGCCCTCCAGGAACATGTAATTAATTCACCCACCCTATCCCTTTTCAAAAGCGCCTTGACGATATTCTGGCACATTTACATTACGTGCTATAGCCCATGACCACCAGATGCTGGCACTAATGCACAACAGACAATGGATAGTGCCATAACCCTACTCGAGAATGAGTCACTCCAAACGCCTTGCCCAAAATTTGATAAACGCTACTACTATAGAAACTGGATTTCTGTATTCCGTCGACCCGAAACAGCTGCACACGAGTAAGCGTTATCCTTGCTATCTTTTTTTAATCTTTTTCTCGCTTATTATGTGATCAATAACCACACCGCTTGTTGCTATGTGTGCGTAGATTTTCATTTCAAACTCCCTTTATACGGCAGTGCAGTTAAATCTGTAATCGCCCTAACTGATGACTCCATTATCCCTTGATCTATCTTCTCTACTCTAAACACCCTACGTGACATGTCAAGCACCTACTTTTTTACCCGTTATAAATCATTGTTCATTGAGTAGGAGTATCATTAATGAGTAACGGTTCTAGCGTGTGGAATTTCGAAGTATGCGAGGGAAATTTTAGCAGCATGGTACTCAACGACGATCTCAACCGGCCCACACATTGAACTGAATGCGGCGTATGAAACACTACGGGCGCATGTCGAACTACTTCATGGACTAAGCCCAACGGATCAGAATATCGGACAAACACATCGGGCCACAGGATAATTGCAGGGACACAGTTGCATGCACCCAAAGGTTCTAATCGGAAAGATTGATTCCGAATACGGACCAGTTACTGGCCAAGCAGTACCACTAATCACGAGGCCGCATAAGACCACGAACTTACTTCTTTCTTCGGGACTGGCAACCCTGAAACCCATTTCCAAACTCAGTTGTTTGTGCCTTAATTTTAGACGTTTTCAAGAAGTGCTTGGAGATCACATTTATCGCGCTCGCTTTGTCGCATGAATGGATCCTTTGAAATGTATTACGTTGAATTGGCTTCTTTCGAATGGTATTCCAAGCTAATGGGGATATGTAGTCCGATTATTCTTTAAGTCAGGGGTTAACCATAATAGCTTATTGGGCTTTTTTGTAAGGTTCAGCTTTAACAACCTTATTTCTACTATGCAACTATCCCGCTGTTCTGGTTTTCCGTGCGTATAATCTTTGATTTTGCTCCTATCTTCCATGCCAACCTAAGAAACCGGTTGGTTAAATGCTTTTTACCCGTCATAAACAATTGGTCCTCAGACATGCACATCTCTACGTGACGCGCATCCACGAACGACAAAGATGCCAAAATTTACGGTGCGTTGGCATTTGAAAGCGACCAGGCAATTTAGGTACGTCCTATTGGAGTGCATTTACATATGTATGTACTGCCTCAGAAGTATGGTGAGTTAGATCAGCAGAAAAATGCATGCTGTGGTAAACGGCGGGAACTGCCGTTTGTAGCAGTAAACTTGGGCTGTGAATCAGAGAGAACTTCCCTTATTCACGAATGAAAGCAGAAAGGCTACCAAAATGTTTCATTAAACGTTTAAAATTGCATAGCAATTTCAGCATCATACTCGAGATGGCTTTGTCCGCAGTAATTTGAGGGGAGATCGATAATACAATTATTTTAGAATCCGCAAGTGGTGGTCCAGGCTTTCTGGATTTCCATCAGCTATAGACACCAGATGGTAACCCATTTCCCTCACCTGAAGTTAAGGGAAGTTTCCTACTAATCACCATTTGGCTAAAATTTAGCAAACAAGTAAAGTGCCAAGAAAATATTAAGATACTATTTCCTGTAGCAGCTGATGTCATAGAGTGGTCAATGGGGTACGAACAATGCTTGGTAACAATTATGGAGCTACACGACACTGTACAACGGAATCGAGCCAGCGCACGAAGTTCCAGGTCGAAAGTGAGAACGCCTATGCTACTTGAACTCTAAATGTTTATATCCGGTGTAATCAGGGAACACACAATCCACGAGCCACTTATGTGCACCGCCATCTACAACAGTTCACAGCTGTCTCACAGTAGGGGAAATGACACTGAAGACTATGTAGTTGATTTATAGTTTGTTATCACTGTTTTACTAATTTTTATAAAATACGTGAATTCTGAGAACTGAGGTATTTTCTCGCAAGCTCTTGTAATCATCCGCGACATGGCTATATACATAGCATTAAATATTTGGGTTGGACCTAGAACCACCCAGTTTGGTGGTCATCACCTTAATCCATTATGCACAAAGAAAAATCGGCGCCACTTACTGCGGCTAGACTAGCTTCCTCGTTGCATAGATGGAGGATCCCGCATGGTTTCTCTGCAATCAGTTGGATGATGACACGGTTGTCTGCAAAGTTGATGTACTGCCACTCGATTCCCTCCCTCGTGTACTCCTCTTGCTCCAGCTCAAAAATGCAGAAATTGAACAGCCGTTGCAGATTTTCATTAGCGTAGTTGATACAAAATTGTTCCAGTGAATTGTTAGGTAGGTTCTGTGGACAGTTTTTGGTGCACATGCACGCAAGTGTCAAATTTGGGTGCATTGTAAGATTGTACAGAGGCGGTCAGTACAACAAACTGATTGTCAACTGATTTATCATCTCGCACTTTTACTAAAGAATCAAAGCAACATCTAATTTTATCAACGCTACAGCCAGTGTGAATAGTATTTGGTGGCATTTCGTGCGAGCAAGTTGTTTTCACAATGTGGTGCGCTGGGGGTATACTACTGCTTTGCAAATAAGTAGTACGGCGCAAACGAAAATTCGAACGAGACAGAGCAAGCTGTGGGCAACATCAACGGTCAAGCACAAGGTGAACGGCCAAAGTTAACGGGTTGACTTATCACAGGAAGACGGAAACAATTATGAAAGAAGGATGCACATTGCAGCGATAGGGATAGCAATCGTCGCCGAGGATTAGCACCGTAAGTGCTCAGATGTTCGCTACCTCAAAATTTAATTCGAACCTTTGGCCGTTGCAACAGAACACGTGCTTCTCCTCCCTTTAATGATGACCAGGTAAACAACACTTCATAAGATGCATGGCCGAGATGCCAAAACCAAATGAAGGTGACGTGCGATTACTGTAAAATAACCCACCCGCACCGACCTACGCTTAACTTTTTTGAGTACCATGAAGTTAATGTATTTCAGCGAGTAGAGGAATACAGAATGGCTGACCTAGCCGTGGTGCCGAGCAGTGTAGACACTACCATTCTGTAAGCAAGACTACTGGGAATAGATCACAGTTAGTTTTTTGTGTATGATTTTCAGCTTTCGCTTTCATGTATTCCTTTGTACCTGGCATTCGCGAATGGCTGACTTGGAAATATGTACCATGGTAATCGCTACTCTCTTTCCCTCTTTTGCTTCCTACCCAACATCATACGGCTTGAAGGAAAGTGGAAACTGGACAATCCTCTCGGCTTGTGTTTATTGCTGACTTCTGCGCTTGTCCTACACAATTTTCAAGGTTTGTAAGCCCATCAGTCAGCCGCTTGATTTATGACTCAGAATTATTTCTGTTCCTCGATTCTACCGTTGCTGTTGGCTATCACTACAACCAAATAGACAGCGGAAATCAATGAAGTGTACTGCAGAGCAGTTAATTTTTCCAGTGTGAGGTAGAGGAATGGGAAGAATCTCTTCCAGTTCTGATTAAATTTCGATGGAGTACGTGATGACCGGTGGCGGTTTATTTGATACTGAAGACATATAGAGAATGGAAACACGGCTCCAGCTTGCTATATTAGTAGTGTAACGTTCGTACATGGGACCGGTAGTCGAAGTAACAATTTGTCACTGAGTGACCTTCTAACCAAGTCAAAGGTTGAGTTGAGCTTACCTCAAACCCGTAAATGTCCAGCAGAGCGATCGTGCGGGTTTTAGTTCCTAACACTCCAGTTTCTGGTAATGCAAGACGATCATTCAGCAAAGCTACCAGACGGTCAAAAAACTGCGCGTATATCTGCTTTGCTATAGAATCCCGATTCACTCTCGCTTGCCTTTCACGAACAGGGCTCCATAGGCTCTCACGAGTTGTCTTCTGCAATACAGAGGAAAAGAGAAACATTTAGAACTGACTACTAACTACGCTTTTCCACATGAGACAGCTGAACAGTGAAATGTGCTCGGTGCTTAACCTGGCTGACTAGTATATTCTCACTATTTCATCAACTTTTAGTCCCAGCTCCGGAAGGTACCAACTAATGAGGCCGCACAGACGTATTACGGTAAACTCACTGATTAAACAATATGCATATTTGGCACTACTGTATAAAATTTAGTAGTACTAAAGATAGGCAACCTGCTCTTGTGCATGCGATGAAGCGCCACTTAGCCACAGTGATTCGGGTCATACCGTTGGAAGACTGAGTCATTTTTACTTCAGTCCGTATAAAAACATCCATAATAGCATGCTTAGTTGCCGCTATCACCTTACAAGTATTTTGCGTCCACGTGGCGATGAACAATGTTGATACTTGGAAGATACTTAAGCATGACAGCATTGCTGTTAAGGCCGGGGATTGGTATACCATCTTTACCAGGTTACAAGTACTGGGAGCGGTCGCTTTCATATCAAAATAGGGCAGAAACGCAAGTTCTATAGCTAAATAAGGCGACAATTTGTAACTTGCCTTCTTTCCCCATGCAACACTCTAGCCGTTTCTGTTCCGCTACCGCGATTTAATTCGGTCCGGACCATTGTATGTCACTGATAATAATTAGCAAGTCGGTCTACCTTATTTTCTAATGAAATGCACGCACATAGACTCCGTCTACGCGTCTCTGTCTACGTGAACAAATAACTTACGTTGATCAATTCGGTCTTTTAGGTTATACCTCTATCCTTCGCTCCGTAACGAGACTTGAGCTTCAGTGTCAACTATTATCAGTCCTGGCACACTGGGCTTTTAGCCTGAAATCTGTTGAAACTGATAACTCCTGTCTGCAGATCGGAACTGTGAGCGTACTGTAATGCTCTTAGCACAACGTCTTTAGTGTTTTATCCCCACATCAAGTTTAAGCAATGCTCTAAATGGGGTGAAAATACGCTAAACTCGATTTGAGAACACACTGACTGTCCGCTTTCGTTCTGGTGGGATGGGAGTGGCGTGTTCATCCGGGGCGTTGAGGCTTCTAACGCCGAGGCCGTCCTTTTGTTGTTGTTGTTGAATATGTCGCTACGATATTTAATTTGCGTGGATTGGAATTGGTGTTCCTCTGAAAAGGAGGAGCAATCTCTGGGGAATCAGCCGACCACTAGAAACGCGTTTCACTTGAACTACAAGTTTCACAAGTGAAACGTAATTATACCGGCGTACTAATACCATCCTTACATGAAACTCTGTGATTGCGTTCAGCAGACTTTAAGTCTTCAAGGGACAGTTCTTGAAAACTTAACTAATGCTGCGCGCTGACTGAGTATAGAAAGATGCGAGAGACACCAAGTAAGTCCAGTCAAGAATGTGTTTTGTGCGCCAATTTAGAGCAAATATTTAATTGGCAATTTAGTAGAGAAGGGATAATGTAGATGGAACCCGTTGAAGTAGCCGCATGTGCCATCATCTTTGTGAAGTTTGGCTGGTGACGCTTCCATCACGCCGAGGTCCAACAGCCAGCTCGAACTGCCACGTCACATTCGCATTCAAAAGCCTATGTAGGTGTACTGTTGATACACCTACTTAGTGAGGGTAGGAGATCACTCCGGTATATATCAATGTTAAAACACATATGCACCTCTTTGGATGTAGATGAGTCGCCAGCTTTACTATGGGTCTTGGTAAATTTGTATTTACGTGGTCAAACGTCTGTCCATTTTGCAGTCACTGAAGCGGATGCGGTGAGATGGCACAATGACCTTGTTACCCGTATATACATTGAGCGATTTGTGGTCGGGTTTCTCTTAGAAATAGCCTGGTTTTTGGCTACCCATGCAGAACATTGCATGCCGCATTGGTATAGACAAACATAGAACCGGATGTTGATAATTCTGCTTTAAAAAGACGGTTATTTTATCTGGGTTATGTATAACTTACAAGAAATGGGCAGTTGACTGGATATACAGTAGTAAGTCTACAGAAGCCGCATCCCGTCCATCAGTAATGATAATTCCCTTCTTGGTTCACTAATTGAGTTGGTATTTTATACCAAAAATCGACAACGGGAGCTGTTTTCGCATGGGTTAGAGGCACTTTTGATAGTAGCGTACCAGTCAGTTTGCTTGTGCAGTGAGTTCCAGTGATAGTAAAGGGTGCCTTTAACACACCAGTTAGCTGCTTGGTGGTCAGAACTGTTAAGACAAATAAATTGCTAAAGGAAAGTGCGTAGGCTTATTTACAGCAGAAACATGAGGGCTAAGATGATCTAGCCTGAGTCGAAAGGGTTCGCGTCGAGTGTCCTCTGTGTACCTGGTATACCTAGAGAAACAGTGCAGATGAAAAATAGTTTGGGCCACTTCCGGAAACGAAACACATTAGACGGCTTTTCATAGTGCATCACAGCCTCAGCAATATCCCAACATATGCTTGAAAGCCAATGTACCCTTGTGTTTTCAGGGCGAGTACAAGTTAGATCTCACGTAAGATTAGGAGCGGTGTGCACGGAAAGAGGGAAATGCGCTGGAACTGTTCAAGATAGGGGGTGAGGATGTATGACAGGCAAGCCGTTGCATAACAGCAATGTGAAACGGCTTCCGAGAGGTATGTTAACGAACCCACATTATTTCAGTAAAGGTTACTTTACACAATTAACTGAAGTGGATGTCAGCAACTTGACGTTACTTTGCGTTATTAAAGAGCAATAGATTTAATATTGCTCCAACTCGTTTTGACCAGGGTAGCACAGCGTGCAATGGTTTTTAATCTTACCATTCAAAGTTAACGGTCGTAGTGTCAAGTTTAATGTCTACGGAGCCCTGGTTCTACACCTTGTGGTAACACAATGGAATCAGCTAATAACAAGTCGTTATGACTTATGAGCATCGGTTAGTGCTTTTGTTGAACTCTTATAATTTCGGCAGTGACCTCATGTTGATGCCTCAACTGGATGGAATCAACAATATCGTCTTCCACTTGGAGCTACGTTCTCACAGCGTAGTGCTTAGCAGGAACTCCATACGAGGGCTAACTTCGTGTAGTCTCTCTGAACAGGCTGTTAAATTGTGTTCAGGTCACGTTTCATACGTATCAGAGGACCGGTCACACAGTCGCTTATTACAAATGCCTAGGGAAATTGAAGAAATCAATTAGTGCCACGATCAGGAGTTAACATTGTCTTCTATGGGACTGCGTTTGATCAAGATATTCTGAGTAAAACCACTGCCTATCCGAGCTCGTCATTCGACGATTCAACAAATGGTAGATTGCGTGCTGCTGCTCTGCGCCTATCAACTGAGAAGCCCTTCACTTTCTAGGGCAGTACTGAGCCAAAGGCATAAAAGCTAATACCTTCTCTTTGAATCTCTTCCGAACTCAGAAAACATCATCATCATCATCCTCATCATCACCACTTGTTAGTTGAAGATGCGAAACACACCTCAGTTATTGTGTCGCAATACAACAATAAGATGTATTTAGAAAGTGACATTTTACAAACGACAAAATACAAAACTGAAACCAGCAACATAATGCTAAGTATCCCGTTCTGTATGGGATGCGACATGATAGTTGGAATGCGAAGATCAGCGGGGTGGGGTGGGGAAAAACAGAAAATAAGCACAAGCGAAGTCAAATGTTCGCTGTCAATAAGTTTCTCTAACTAAACATATTCATCGTTCGTTTGACCGCAGCCGAACAGTCGGGAGACACCAACGGTCGACAGATTTCAGGTGGGGGGATTCATTCCTCTTGACCAAGTCATCGCTTGGCCTTTTCTCCTCTTCTCCGACGCTAACAACGCACGGCGCGGGATTAGGCGTGATGGCATGCGCAACAATTGGCCCAGACGTAGGAACCTGGTGCGTGATATAATGGGGCTGAGTGGTTCACTCGCTCTTGCTGAACCAAATACACAACGCCGAACAATCGCATTGCTCACACAGTATTCCCCCCTGACTTGAACGAAGTTGCAAAGGCAGAGAGGACAGAAAGTATTTGGCCTATAGATCTGATGGACCAGGTTTCGCAGCCGTACAGGAGAGATGAATGCACGGCTTCGTCGTAAACTCTGCGCCTCAGAGTGCTCAGCAAAAGCGCCAGTAACTTATGTTATGCGGTTCCTGATCTCAGCTTCTATCCCACAGGTGTTAATATTGCTACTTAGATGACTGTTTTGGACTATTTCTAGCTCATCCTAACCAAGAGTCAATGCAGTTGTGCGTCGCAGTCTATCTTGGAAAAGAACCTGGGATTTCGACGGTGCAAAACCTAGTCCAAAGCGATTGACAGCCAGTTCTAAGAGTCAAGGCAGTTGTGTGTCCCAGCCTATCTCGAAGAAGGACCTTATAATTCAACGGTACAAAGCATAGCCCAATGTGATTGATGGCCAGTTCTAAGTTGTCCACTGCAGCTTGGCCCCACGTTGCTTCCTCCTTCGCATTCAATTCCCAACTTAGACTACCATTAAACACCGGCGTATCTGCTAGATAAACGCTCAACCAGACAACTCACATATCTTCTGAGATAGTACTTTTACCCCGTCAGCTTGTGGGACCTGTCAGGCAAGTGCTTTTTTACCCGGCATAAATTATTGTTCGTGGTAAGGGAACTTACACAGAATAGGGCAATGTCGTCGGCCTAATTCAAGACGCCGCTCACACAAAAGCAACTCCACATCTTCCAAGTCATGTCTAGTGAATGCAGTGCCCATGCTTACAGCAGTGACTACGTAAAGAGGAATGGTTCTAGCAGACGACTTTGTTTCACACCTCTAGACGTCTTGGAGGGCCGCGACAGTTTGCCATAAACCTTCACTCTGCCCGATTTATGCGCGTACAGCGCTCCAATAATGTTTACCTATACATCGGCCACGTCTTTCCTAAGCAGACACTTACAACTGGTACCCCAATCCGTAGAATCGAAACAAAATTGATGACAGAAACACGACTACTGTGGCTCATCAGTAAACATGGTGGTGCTCTATGATTTGACGCTATGTGAAGATGTGTTACATGCAACCTCGATTTGGACAAAACCCGGATTTCTTCTCACGATGCTGGTTTTCATGGGTGTCAGGCAGTCTTTGGAAAAGGACAGTGGCCGGTAAGTTAGAAGCAATTAAGATCAGACTGACCCCTCTATGATTGCCGCATTCCGAACGGAATCCTTCCTTGAAAATTATGGCTATAACGAAGCTACTTTACTCCGTTGCGAAAGTCTCCTGCTCCAACGCATTCACTATTAAGTTATGCAAAGCATTCATAAGCGCAAGTCCGACGAATTTGAAGAGGGTTAGGAAAATTCTATCTGCCCCTTTGACCTTATTCAACTGCAACAGTCTGACCTCACCTTTGGCTTCTGGGTCTAAAGGCGGATCCAGGGGGACTGTCCAGGGAGGAGGCCAACCAGTTGCAGATAAAGATACTGGGGACTGGCTGAATAAACTGCTTTTCAAAGTGTTCGGCGCAATGTTCCAAGCGTTTTGAAAAGTCTTTGATTGCCTGTCCGCTCTCAGCGCGTATGGTCTCGCTAACAGCAGGTATCATGCTGCCCTTTCCGTATCAGACGATGGATACCAAGGACGGCGGCTGTTCCCATCTTCGACGTATAATGAGATCACCAGGCCTCCCGCTCTCTCTTCAGCCTAGCACCTAGTTTCGGCCTACGATCTTTGCGAGCCCCACTGCATTCCTTTCCAACCGGCATGTGTCGGCTAGCATGCTGAAGTTCCAGAGACTGCGTAGAGATCCAGTATCCATGTTGGCAATTTTATTTACCACCTAATGACATGTCTACTGCAAATAACGCCTGGCGAACATGCGACCAGTGATCCTCAACTGTGTTCAGTGGGCGCTTATTCCGCCTGCATGCAAGCGTACTTGGATACGCATACAACACATCTGACTTTGCTATTTGGCAAGTAGCTATGTGCTCACAACGTCGTTGCGAACGTCCACCGAAACGCACTCGCAGATAGGCACATACAAGAATGTGATCGGAGTCCTTGCTGATGCTCCAAACCGATCGGCAGTTTTGGTAACGGCCTGTCCAGCGGTAACTGACCGCGATGTGATAGATTTGTGTCCATGACTGGGCCGAGACTGCAAGGCGCCATGTCAGTCTTCTTCAGGTGCTGTGTCAAAAGTTAGATCTCACGAGAAATAGACGTGCATCTTCACACAGGTATAACAACCGCACACCCATCACTGCGGGTGTCTACCACATGTTGTCCACCGTGATGCAGTCCATCCGTGGAGATGTTTCCAGCGTTGGCGTTCAGATCATTAGCAATCACCATAGTATCCGTACTTCTTCTGTAATGAAGGAACGCGTACAATTGATGATAGAAATCGCCGTTCACCGAGTCGGTGCTTTAGTTTGTGGATGTGTATGCAGCAATGACAAACAGGCACCGTTTGTCCCCGCGTGACTTCGATACTTTGAACGGCCAATCTGACGGCGCACATCAGGCCGTTGACTTGGACCCAACTGATAAGGACACGTTCAGCACGGAGGCTGAGAGCAATGCCCACGGCAGCTATTTCTCCCCCACACTAACGCAATAGGAAAGTGTCGTCAGTGTCGCATGTTAGGGATGGCAGTATAAGCCCAGAGCTCTAATTTCGCAGGTAGGTTTCGGATAAGCCTCATATATGGATTGGTAAGGTCTCAAGTGTACAGGTAAGTGCCACCTGTTGGCCAGTTTGTAACATAATCTGCACCTTGATACATACAAATCTTAGCGGGGATCGAGGGCCCTCACCCCGAGCTTTCCATCATTTTATTTCAGTCGGGGTGCTACGACAAAAGACATTCACAACAACCATAAAGCAGAAAAAAAGGGCCAGCAAATTTCAGGAACACCAGAGATATTCTCAAAGCCAAGAATGTGATGGCCTAGGGGTTCATTAGATTGGGAGAGATTAACGCCAACGCACCGTTAACTTCATGGTAATCACACGATCCAAATGTTTTGCTTCGACACCCATTTCCAAGGCCACGATTTCTGTTACCGCAGGATTTGTGATGATACATTTTTCCTAAATAGATAAAGCGGTAATTGGAAGGACGTGTGTACGGGCGATACGTACAATCGAAATAATAACGTGGGGCTGCAACTAGGTGATCGCGACAACTGCTCATTAACTATTCTCCCTAGCCCAACGACTCTGGGGTTGCAATAAATTAAAAGTATTTATGATACGCAAAACAGTCAAACTGGAAACTATTATTTTAAACCTAAATCCGTATGCGATCTCTGTCGGCTTACATGCATAGGGTGTGTATTTACGATGAAATATCACTGAGCAAACCGGTCAACGCTTGATCTTGTTCAAGAATATATTACTTTCCACTATCGCCAACTTGGGAAGTCTTTGAACGAGAGGGTTCGCTTGTAACTTTACCAGATTTTTTAGAAATTGTCTTATTTAACATTGCAACCATTAAGAGACAAGGAGATTTGTAAAGCTGATAAGGACCGAGTAGGTTTTGGTCAATTGGAACGCAGCGAGTGCAATCCAATTAGCTAGAGACATCTTTCGCTGTCAGTCTATTGAGCGTGAGTTCCTTGCGTTTACGAAAAAAGCTACAGTGGCTGCATGATTATTCAGAATGTCTGGTTCAAATATCTACCGGTACCCAGTAGGAGATTATTAAGGAGAGTTAAGCAGCAAACCGGCAGTCCGGTGTATTACAAGGAAGCAAAGGTATTCTTGAATGCCTGCTCCTCTAAGGTGGCGACGACGTATTCGCTGCAGAAGCTGGTGACTTGTGAAAACATTTAAGAAAACAGTAGCGAAAGCAAATGGTGTAGAGCGCGCATCGCAAGCGATTACGTAATCAGGAGAATCAGGCCACTGTAGTACACAGGCACAAACTCAGGTTTGTGCCACAATGGCTGGCGCGCAGGTCTAAAAAAGACAAGGAGAACGACTACCGTGTGGGTGACATTAGGCTGGCTTAAGTGTCTCAACTACGTACATGAACTCCATCGTCTGGACATGTACGAAATAATTCTCTGTACTCGGTTTCAGTTGGTCACCGACAAACTGGCGTACTTGTCTAAGATGATTATCTCAATAACGCTGTCACAGAGATATAGCTATACCCTAGAGAGAAGAGGAGTTAAACACCAGCTCGTCTGATTTCTGATCGTGTCGGTTTCACTCCTGTTGCACCTAGGTTAAAGACAGACTGTTATGAATTCTCTGGAACTGAAAGTTTGTATTCTATTAACACAAGCTAAAAATATGGGTCCCGTCCGGAGGTGACATTTTTTTGTTGCATTCTACCTTAATAAGGTCGGCTTTTGGAATGGAGCTGCTAATAAGTTTGTTGACTGATGTTATTCAACGAAAAACCGACAGGCCACCCAAATTTTATTCTAACATAGAACATGTTTAAAATACCCAACACTAAATATACCGCTAGTCAGTTATCCAGCAGGAATCTTGCGTCAGCGTTTGAAGAAGTACTGAGAAGCCCACTTACTCCGTCACACAGTTCTTTAAACTTCAAGTTACCCAAGTGGAGAATAGCCGATATTACTCGCAAGCACAGGTCAATTTCCTCTTTCGGCAGTGCGAGAGTGCGCCAAGACTCCAACAGAACAGCCAATCCATCTGGATCGGAGTGTGAAGTGCTTGTCCGTTTTGCACCCTGAACAATGAGAAAAGCAATCAACAATGTAACTGATCTGGCTGCTTGTTATAGCAAAGTGCACGGCCATTTCAGAAGTCTAGCCCGTTGAATAAGATTCGTGCATTAGTCAAAGGAGGTGGCATTACCGAGCAGTAACCTGCTCGATATTGTTACCAAGATAACATAAAGTAAAAATTCTAAGAATATCTAAGTATAAAATGAACAGCATGAAATCACCTCAATTAAGTCTCCCTACCTCGAGTGCACAGTTATCTGGATTTGCCTCGAACACCAGCTCTTTTAGGAACGAAAGGGGACAACCGGTTCGTGTTTCGTGGTGTACCTGAGGAGTTAGTGTGACTCAGACAATTAAAATGTTGTTTAGATCAATGTTTGCTACGCTGCGCAAGTGTCTAGGAGGTGCTCGGAGGACACGTTGTATCCGTAGGCAAATGGATGCGATTAAAAATAACGTGGGAAGACAGAGATGAAGAAGTCTCCTTCAGTCAAAGTTGTGAGTGCATACGCTGCGGGGCTGTGCCCGTCCTCCATGAATATGAACCAGGATAGAGATTTATATATGACATTTAAGAGTTATATCTGCAGTGATTGCAATGACATGAAGTAAGATCAGCTCGGGTTTATTGGTTGTATGTTGTTTTGCCCGCATATCAGAGTAACTCTTTTTCCGATATTACGCAGTTAATCGAAGTGATATTTTTGTTGCGCAGTGACAACTGACTTCACTTGTAGATCATCATCATCATCATCATCAACAGCAGTACATCAGCCATTTGAACTGATGCTTCGCTGCCATACAACCATGAGGACCTATGAAATAAAGAATAGTAAGAGGGAGAGAAGGGGGACTTACCTGAAAACCTTAATGCCCTAAGCAAACATTCAGGGTCAAGGCGCCTACACCTTGTGTTAACAACATACCGTCACAAACAGCTGGCTGTCGTGCAAAGATAAGGCGGCATCGGCGAGACAGCTTCCTTGCGGCTTTCACTGCCACGCGTCATAATCAGCCATTATCCCGCAGATAACTCAGCACCAAACACACTTTAAACAGACAATCCGATTAGGAGACGGCAGCAGACGCGCCACTGGTGTCGGCTGCGAGCCATGTCCTGTAAAGTCTCGAGCCAAGCACAAGGTGAGTCACGTAGACTCCAACCCGGAAGGCGAGACGGACCAACGGCACCCAGTTTGGTCGTCAGTGACTTCATTTCCCGCTGCCAAGTCAACTTCTGTCCACCTCGAGCCTTGCGCCATCCGACACCTGGTAGACTGAACAAGGCCCACCTAGGTAAGCGGTGACCAGGCATGCGTAGCACGTGCCCGAGCCAACGTAACTTATTCAGTGCTATCTGTTGTTCTAGGGAGCTAGCATGATCATCACCCCCTAGTACTCGCCTACGCACATCATCGTTGCGGACACGCTGGTGCCATCCGACACCAGCAATGCTTCGCAAACAACGATGATCAAAGACTTGAAGGCGCCTCAGATCTTCAGACCGAAGGGGCCAAGTTTCACTACCATAGAGCAGAATGGCCCTCACTGTGGCCTTGTATACACGGCCTTTCAGACGGAGGGAAACTCCCTTCTGTCGCCAAAGATGACGCAGGTTCAAGAAGGCAGCTCTGGCCTTTGTAATGCGTGAGCTAACGTCAGTTTCTATGCGCCCATCATTGCTGATGCAGCTGCCAAGATAAGTGAATTGATCAACCACATCGATTTCCTCGTTAGCAAGCGTCAAGGGGTCATCGAGTGGCTGGTGGTCCTGCAGCAACACTTTGCACTTTGAAGGTGCGAAGTGCATACCAAATAATGGGACCACTCTGGATAGGCTATTCAGGGTTGGTTGTGCCGCCTCGACATTGTCGAAAAGCAAGACGATATCGTCCGCATAATCTAGATCAACTAACCGTTCACCAGGCAGCACTTCAACGCCTACATCGTGAGATTCCGCAAGGGAACACTCCATGATAGAATCCACGACGAAATTGAACAAAAACGGGGAAATCGGGCAACCCTGTCGAACGCCACTTGTAGTCGAAAAGCTATCCGATAGTGCACCATAGACCCTGACGCGGCCTCTAGTGTTCGAGTATAGAGCACGAAGGATGTTCACATATTTCGTGGGAACACCTTTCCGCGCAAGTATTTCGAACTGAATCGATCGATCGACTGAATCGAACGCACTCTTGAAATCGAGGAACACAGCTATTGTCGGTCTGCGATATGCGTGGCGCTGCTCTAGCACCTGCCGCAAAGTAAATATATGGTCTATACAGCCACGTCCTGGGCGAAAACCGGCCTGCTCTTCTCTAATCCGAGATTCCCGTTCTGCAGTGAGGCGACGAACCATAATCGAGGCCAGTAATTTTGTCACAACTGGCGTTAGGCTAATACCCCTGTGGTTCGCACAATCTGTGCGACTGCCCTTCTTGTATATTGCCACTATAATCGATTCGCTCCAATTAGCCGGCACACTCTCTTCGTTCCAGATACGTTCGAATAGGGAGGTCAGTGCTTTGCAGAGGACCTCACCACCATCCTTAAATAATGCAGGTGGTAGGGAATCCGGGCCAGCGGCACGAAAACGATTAAGGGCTGTGATCACGTTTCGGACTTCGGCCTCCGACGGAGGCTCTAGACTAACCGTCCATGGCTCGTCCTGCATCACCTGAGTAGGAAGAGGTCCGGGAGCAGGGGGCCAGTTGAACTGATGTTCAAAGTGCTCAGCCCAACGAGCCATACGGCGCTGCTTATTGTGTATCAGCGCACCCGCGCTGTCCCTGATTGTCTCACTGACACCTGGTTTTCTCGGACCAGTGGTGCGTATTAGCTGGAAGAGCTTGCGGTAATTGCCTACTGCTCCTGCCTCCTCCATTTCTTGAGCCCGACTGGTCCACCAGGCTTCCTTGTCAGCACGTAGGCTCCGCTTTAGTTCACGCCTAATAGCCCGTCTGGTCACATTGTGTTCGGAACCAGCCGGGAGATGCCTTCTAGCTTCCAAAAGGTTCACGGACCTCTCGGATATCCAGTGACTGGTGCGATGATGACTGATAGTGCCACAAGCAGATGCTCCTGCGTCGTGCATAGTGGCCGAGATCTTATTCCACTGAAGTTCAGTATCATTAGGACAAGACAGCGAGAGTTCGCTATGCAGTGCTTCTTGATAGGCTTGCCTGACAGAGGGCTGGGACAATTTCTCCGTTGCCAATCGGGGGAAACGCTGTGTGCACCTTCCGGTAAAGTTCATGGAGAAACGACAGCGCACCAAGACATGGTCAGAGTCGACACAGGTACTCCAGTACGAGCGGCAATCCAGAATGGAACCGCGCCACCTGTAACTTATGGCTATGTGGTCAATTTGGGTCCATCGCTGACCAGCTACAGGTGGACGCCAAGTGGCACTTCGGCGCCCACTGTGTCTAAAAGCAGTGCTAGTAAGAAACAACTGGTGCTCCGCACACAGTTGCAGCAGACGCTCGCCGTTGTCAGTCCGTTCGGAGTTAAGTCCATATTTACCACCCAGCTGAGCTTCTGAAGAGCTCAGACGCCCTACTTGTGCGTTCATATCCCCTGCAAGTACTATAATATCTGAACTAGTAGCACTGCGTAGCAGCGTGTTCAGTTCGTGATAGAAAGTGTCCTTGACTGCATTAGAACTGCAGTCCGTGGGAGCATAAGCAGAAATCACAAACAAACAGCGTTTTGTTTTACTTCGCGAATTCACCTTAGCTGATGTCGTCAAACGGGCTGCACATAAACGACTGTTCACCGGAATCCAATCAACCAACGATAACTCAGCCTTGGAGCTGAGAATGATACCTACACCAGCTTGACCGGTGAGTGCCGCATCGGCGTCTCCGGATGCGTGCAACCAATAACGAGAGGATAAGCCGGGTGCAGTCAATTCAATAACCCCGTTAGGGTCATTTATCCTAGTTTCGGACACACAACACACATCAACACCCAGTGTGTCCAAGGTGCGTGCGAGTGCAGCCTGCTGACCTGTTTGTCTTAGAGTGCGGACGTTGAAGGTCGCCATGGAAACGGGACAGCGTGGTCTTATAAGGGACTTTTGCCGATAGGCGTCCGATAGGTGCTGTGGGATGGTGGCTGCAGATGGTTCTACTCCAGTAGCACTTCGGTTGCTGTCAATTAAGCTGGGAATTATAGAAGGAAGGTTAGTAATGGGGGCCGGGATGGGAGTAAGAGAAAAAGGTGGAAAAGAAAGAAGGGAGGCGCCAGCAGTAGCATGCTTTCGCTTATCCGCCCTGCTGTATGCAGCAGATAAGGCGACCCTTGATAATCTGCGCGACGGCCGATGCAGGATGAAGTTTATGTTTGAAGAAAATGTCATGGTTGTATGTGGGCTGGGATACTGCCAGGGCGCCCAGACCTAGACAGGAGAACGATTAGGGTCCTCATCCAAAGCCTTTGGCTCAAAAGCCTGTCCGCAAGGCAGCGGGGTGGCAGTGATTTAGTTTTACAGAAATGGACGCCATCCCATTTCAAACCCCCAACCTGGAGGACCAGGAGACTGAGTTTGTCTGACCTCTCACCATTGACCAACCTGGTAGGAGTAGCTCTCAAGATGCTCGGAGGCATCACCCAGTATAGCTCAATGGGTCACTTGTAGATAGTTATCTACAAATAATTTCTAAACAGCCGCCAAACTTTGGGAGCTAGACGGTAGTGTCGTAGGCACGACAATTGCGTTTACTAATATTTTCTGGGAGAAAACCTCATTCGTTTATACTTTCGCTGGTGAAATACGTGTTATCAAAAGCTAAGTAATTGATTAAAGTTTATTTGTTGCCATCGATGGTAGAGCAGAAACTGACCCAAGTTTCTATGCTTGTACATGTGTCTCCGTGGTCGGATGTGTACTGCACCCGTGAATTATTTTATGCTTCTGTTTACATTCATCTCAGCCTGTATAAGTCTAAATGTCTGCTTACGGAACTACCGAAATCCACTGCAACTACCTGAGGACCGAGCGTTTGACAAGCTGGGTGGACACTGAGACATTCGCTCTATTCCACCCGGAGATGAAAAACCACAGCCATTGTGAAGCGATGTTAATGAGCCAGTTTAGGACACAGTATGCGATAGGTTTGCAAATACGGGCTTGTAATAAAATGTTATCAGCAAAATACATAAATGTAGACCGCCTTAGCTAAGTTGCTTGGACTATCAGGTGCAAGACTGTAGTTATTAAGCATATACACGTATAGCCCATCCGACAAAAATCTCGCGATCACTTCTTTCATTTTTGTGAATGCTTTCGAGGTTGTAGGCCTCTCTCCGGTTTTGGTAGATCTACGGTTTCCCGCTCTTGTTTATATTTGTCACACAATGGCTGTCTGCAGCGTTACAAACACATTCTTACGCAAAGCCAGGAGGCGCTTTTGAAGACGTAACTTGGCTACCCTAAAGTAGTTTGAATCTTAAAAATTGGGACAATCAAGTGAAACCACTTCGACTGAAGTATTCTATGGCAGCTGGAATATATCGATTTTTATTCGGAATGTGTAGTGCGAGGTTGAGACATCAGCGACAGTTGCACATGAGACAAATTCTGTTAAGGCTACCGGATTAGGTGATCAAGGAACCTGGCTGCTGCGGTGATTAGCTAAATTGGCAGCGAAGTTGGAAATTGAGACTGTAGCATTTTCAAATGCACAGTTAATGGAGATTCAGTGCAGCAAGAAGTTCACGCAAACCAGTGAACCTGGGTCTAAAGCACTTGGAAATAAAGGGACGGTTCCCAAATAAGAATGCAGATAAATGCAGTGTTTTCTATCTATGCTGTCAGATGGAATCTGATCCATAGTCCATGAAAATATGATACATACCGTCGCATTTTTTTGCATCTACCTACTGTCCAAAATATCATACAAATGGACTGTTTATCGGTGTATACAGGCCTGTTTGACAAATCAGACATAGAAGCTCGTGACTATACATCTCAGACGAACACGGACAGATGTTGAGCTCCAGTGCAACGACACATCTACAGTATAACTCTGGATCCAGCCCTAGCCTAATGACAGAAACCTCCGATGTATTGTTATATCGCACTGTACGTTCAAGTTTAATTTTATGGAGTCCGGTGGTTATCACTAGATGACGGTTACCAGTCCTCTAGAAAATGTCTCCTACATTCTAACTCTTATCGAGTACAGTTTGAAATGATCAACAATGGACGGGCCATCAGTGAGAGAGTGTTGTAAGAAGCCGCGCTTCCATAGCGTACAATCTGCACACTTCGAGTGAGCAAAGCCAGTTACTGACGGTGGTATCTATTGTGAGTTAGAATTGTGACCTGAACAGATGCCAGACGTGTGCACCATGTCGATGAGGCGAAGGAACACAAGTATCGATTGCCAGGGCCAGATACCTAGAGAACTATACCAGTTCATTTCCGATTTGTGCTCATACCACAGGGCTTCGATTGTGAGATGATTGAAATTGAGGTGAGATTGTAAAAGAGAGTAGCGTCCAGAATGGTGAGACTAAACTAGTTTTCTTCTTGCTATGTATAGGTAATATGCCTAGAATACCGGCAGACAGCCTATATAATACGCTTTTCATGCGGGCTGATAACAAAACGGTAAGCTCTATCCTGATGCCCGATGCTAGGTTAACTATTAATCAAATCATGCCCTTTACTTCAGATGGGACACTATGATTTATCATAACGCGGTAACTTGTGCTGCATCTATGTTACACACGTATAGCCAAGATTCTCCTCAAGCTATGTTACTTGATTTTTGAATCGCGCACCATGGCACTGCATTCAAACTTACTACTCCACATATTCTGTCCTCGGGTTACTGTCGGATAGCTGACGATGTTTTTTCCATAACGGATGAGTAGATGTCAAACCCAAGTCACTCTCCACTAGGAACCGCGCGTTTGTAGCATGAAAATGCGTAGAGCAGGCTATCTGCTAACCAAAGGTTGGACCGTTACGTAAGTAGGGACATTCAGAGACATGAACCTCTGTGTCTACAACCATTATATTCCAACACCGTTAGATTTCTGCAGCGCTGCAGTATCACCTCAGTGCGCAGTGCGACGCTTAAACAAACACTAATGTTGGGGACTCACATCACGACATTGAGCTATGGCCTCCTTGAAGGCAGTGCAATTAAACGATATAGGATCTTATCACATGTTCGCTGTCCTCTTACTTCTAGCTCTTATACGAACTGACCGCACTGTCAGAGTTCCATCCTCCATTTGCTCCTCCTACACTCCATCCGTATGGAATGATACGAAAGCGACTACTCATCTTCAAAAGCGAGAGTCGTTTAAGTTGTTGTTACATGTCATTACTTTGCATCACCAGGTCTTTGTGGAATTGCTTTTTTGTACTTGGTCCGATTCACGGGTTGCACATTTTCCTGACAAGACCTCTGAGTTCATGCGTTTCAGTTGGACTTCGGAAATACGCGGACCACTATGCTACAGTTCACGTGCATTTAAGCATAATTTTAATTTATAGACCTCAAATCCCAAGGAATTCGGTGAATCGAAGGGATTTACTTTCATTGAAGTCTGCGATTGTGACCGACTAATCGTACGGTTGTGAGAGGCGTCGTTTCGTTACATGTGCGTTAGCAGCCTACTTAATCGACAATCATTGCACGTGGGAGTTCGAAGCTAATGTTGACAGTGCAGCTGAGTTGTGCCCTGTCGTTTCTGTTAAGCTTAAACTCGAAAGCTCCAAACGGTGTACTTGAGTGATACTTCGACTTTGGAGTTGAGCTATGTGGATGTCAATAAGCTGTCTAGCTGCACGACGTTACCACATGAAGTACTGGATTCAGAAGACGGCTAATCTGTGCCGGCGATACAGATGCGGCCCATTGTTCCTCCGAGAGCACGTTTCATTAGAATTGGTCGCTGGATGATAAGTAAAAATAGCGACAGCAGACGTCAGTTACTCATAAAATATGTGACGTACGATGTCTCGGACCATATCGTAATCTGAGAGATTATGCATAATGGAGGTATGTAGAGGACGGATTTTGAAATACCCCTCCTATTCTAATTCCTTCGGTGCTACACCCATTGAGTAATGCAACCAAATTGGCCCATCATTTATATGCATGTATATGCATCCTGTGCTCGTTCCCATCCACTGTTACAAATAAAAGAATAGAAACCGTCAATAAAACATTGCGGTCCGCAACTCCATAAAGGAGATCCTCAAATGCACAGCTGCTGAGATTGTGCTACCCGCAAGCAATCATTGGTGACAGCCGAAATGTAGTCGCTAGGCTAGTATAGTTTGTGCGAAACCAAGCCACTGTTCTAGGTTGATTCTGAGACTTAGGAATTAGAAGATAGTGAAGATATATAAGTAAAGTGTTTGACATAATAGTGAGAGAAGAGTGAAACTTTTAAACACTATGCACAAACACTGCGAATTGGTTGGGTCATATGCCGGGTTTAGAGTAATGGATGTTTCCCGCCACAACAAATCGATCCCATGAGACGCCAGTTATACAATGATGGGTTGTCTGACGTTTCTGCGAGATGGATTGCTCAGCGCACCAATAGATCAGGCCGGTAGCAGATACACTCTTGCATTACAAAGTACGTGACCTTCCGAAGGATAGTAATTATAGCACCAATGACGCACGGCAAATAGTAAAACACGAAACCAAAAACCAACCGACTGACAGCAAAGATTACCTGTACCAAATAGTCGTATTCATCGATGTGTTTCAAATGATGGCGTTGCTTGCTTGCGTCATCTAGGGAAGTGAGAAGCTCGTAAAACACGTGGTAATTGTGTTCCTTTTCGCCCTGCAACAGATGCAAAAAACGAATGAAGTGGGGAGGTTATTTTACTTAACTAACACATGGTTCTTAGTTATCCGCGTGTAGACGGACTAAAATGAATTATTTATGAAATAAGCCCAATGTCTGTGCCATTACCATGTCCTATGCAAAATATTTTCATCTACAATGAGTACTAGCTTGAGTGCGGCGCATCACGACGATTTGTGCTAACGCATCGCCTTCTCCGGGTTTCCAGAAATAATCCAGTGGGGGCACTCGCTTCCGCTTTCATATTCTTTGTAGATATGATTAAGGTATGACAATGAACAGATGCCCAAGAGGGGCTGTATCGCGATCATAACACGATTTCGAAATGTTGACTTCAGAATATGCTACCGTTCTTTGTAGAAAACCACTGCGCTGTTTAACTACGCCATAGGCATGGCTGCATGTATAGGTTTGGGACAAACAGCTTACAGATCAGTTCGTATGAACGCGACCTCAGTGCGCCCATACATAGTGACCTTACTGTTAAGAAACTGCCTGAGGCAGCTGCAGAAGAATCAACCGGCACGTGGGCTTGCTGCGAAGAACATCCGGGAATTTTGACTCCTCACTTTTTCCGATGATGTGCAATTTCCACGTGTGTCCTCATGTTCCCTAAGCTATCCAAGCTTACCAACCTTGATTGAAGTGCAAACTCAAAGTGCTACAGGCAACACAATGCATAGGAACACAGAACATCAACGGGCTGCGTAATCTCTCATAGCAACAAGGATCGAAGTTACTGGGAATTTTCAGTGGACGCTGTCGATGTCTACGCGGAGATCTCACATTGGTGTACCATAGGTTGAGTGACACAGAAGCGTACCTAGGGGGGCGGTGGGGTCGGTCTGTACCAGGCGCCAAGTGATTGGGCTTCACAATCTTAGCATGGGTGATGGCTGGCTAGCCGAACAACCTCCCCGCGGTGCCAGCTGGGTCAGGGTTAATCCCGTTCCAGCGAATAGTGCGGCGGCAGTGTTCCAGGACGTGGTGGGTTTTCGCTATAAAAAGTCACAAAAGGTCCGCTTAACAAGGCCGCGACGTGGCGGATGTGACTCGCCTCTAAATAAAGTAAGTACCACTACACTTTCCGGAGGATTGCTACTACTTCAAGAATGTTATACAATTCAAAGCGTTCCTTTGACCGCTTCATACGATGGCGAACGCAGCCAAAAACATCACAAATTCAGTCATGTTAACAAATTCACTCACCATGTCCACTTACACATATGTAGTTGGCGGCATCCGGTTTCGGATTTGCCTGTCACTGCGGCCAGCCACAGGACGCATGCTCCTACACAGGAACCATGGGTGGCTTGCGCTGCAGCACCCACAGCTCCATCCACACACCCCGTATCCACTGTAAACCCGAAGGAATAAGACCGGGAGGCATGTGGATGGGAGCCACTTTCATCAACGGAGCCAGCCCACACTCCTTCATAGGCAAACACAAGCAAGCTGTATTTGGGGAATCAGTTACACACAAGGCCGTGGCTGGACCGTGGTCTGCGCCACACTGAGTGCATGGAACCACTCTTCGAGCCTAGCACGGCCACAACGACCGTGCACCCTGTACCCTCCAGTAAAGACCAACTGTCTCCTGGAGCCAGTATGGACGAGGTGATGCGTGATAGACAGGTAGGCACCTTGTCAACATCCACATAAACAGCAGGCACACCGGGGATGTCAAACAACAGCCAATCACTTGAAATAACATTATCAAATAAGAGAAATCTGTTAAAGCATATGGCTATGCTGACATAACTGGTCGCTAAATTAGCATATGAAGTAAGTTGGTTAGCAAGGAATCTGCGACACTTACAAAATGTTCAGAAGTTATTCAAAAGATGCCACCAACGCGATAAAGTTAAAGAAGATAACCACCATTAGCGTAATCAATGTGCGCAAGTTAATAGAAGATTCAGGCAGGCAGAAAAAACCCAGATAAAGTGAAATGAAATTTATCCAGCTTAAAAAGACCTAATCAAAAATGTGTTGGTTTGGCCCAACTACGGTGAAGAAGTATCATGAATGCAACGTCAGTCTTAGCCATATGCATACATACACACAAATCCAGAATGTTACTGGTTAAGTTACGAAGTTTTTATGCAATTTAAGACCATAGGTGTTTCTATTATTGTGATTATCTCTTTGCAGGTGTGCCTCGAATTTTCGAGAAAATCAATTATTTATATATTTATTTAATTATAAACGGCAACATTTCCAGGTAGGCCGATAGTTGAATATTGTCTATTGCTTTGGATAGCCAAAATACATGTGCACTATTTGGCGCACCTGATCGTCGTCGGTTCCTTCTTACCTTCGCACACATCTGTCCCGTTACACATCGCACTCCATAGCAGCTATCCTCGAACTTAATGCATTGTCACCCGTAAGACGTGTACAGAAGCCACGTCATTACGTCCAAAATAAGCGCCGACGTGACCTCTGACTTTAGCCATCGCGATCTGTCTTGTACATTAGCAAGTACGGCGATGCGTACTCACACTGTATCTTGTGAAGACTTTATTGTTATCGGGCTGAGCGGGTATTAATGAGGTTTATCCTTATTGTATGTGCTATCCATTTCCACAGTACCATGAGCTCCACGAACTGGTCGAAAGTTCCAAGCAATTTTGTCGTTTACACAAAGCTTCAGAAAACGACAAACCTATACACAGTTTAAACTTTTAAGCTTCAAACAGGTATATCAACTTGGGGAATCTGCACCGAATGTTGTGATCTGGTAGCGCATCTTCCTTACCCGAGCTATTAACATTGCCACGAGTGAGCAATATTTCTCAAAACGCAAGCTTTTAGAAAACTAGGTTCGATCAGCAAGAACCAGGTAGGGCTCACGGACTTGGTCGTTCTCTTTATAGATAGGTGACTTGTTGATGTACTGAAGTTTTAGAATGCTATTGTTAAGTCTGCCGCAAGTAAAGTACGAAAAGTATGCTTGTACCTTTTATGCATCAATGTTGTAACATTGTAAATGCCTTCACTTACAGCAAAGCTCAAAACTAAATCTCTGATTGGTGATTTGTGAGACGAAATATGAAAGGGCTGATCGCAATTTTGAGTATTTGCGAGATTAAAACTGCCTGGGGGCAAATGTATTATGACTGCCTCGGGTGGCAAGATGAGCTGCTACCCACTGGAGTGACCCAAGCCACGTGTACCGCCAGTTTCCAACTGCAGCCAGGCGACGGAAGTCAGATGTAATAGCCTGAAACTGCGTGGACAATATAACCGCCAACAATGAGGATGGAGTCCATTTTCTTTTCGGGTTTCCCAACCTTGGAACTCTTGCGGAAACTAATTGATTTCTTCCCCTATCTTGAACAGGCTTAAAACAAGAATTGGATGTTGCCCGTTAGCTCCTAGCACATTTTTGTCTAAACGTGGCTACTGCGGAATATCTTTCCGATGTACTCATATTGGATTTGTGGATCACATGTAGTGGTAAATGGGTGGGCGTTTTCATTTTTGGTTGTCTCACATAATGTTTGCTATGCTTGCATTCAATTCCAATTTCATGATATCATCATGCAGCAGCACACTTAACTAGGCAGAGATTTAAACTGGTAATTCACACACATCTTACGATTGTGTACTTTTCATCCCAATCACCCTGGGGGATTTGTCAAGCTTTCTCACTCTGGATAACTGACTGTTCAATGTTTGTTGTTCTGCATTATTCTAATTTGCGTATGCCGTTACAAGAAGCAGAACTTAACCTTCCTTCAAACATTGATCAGGAATCTGACTAAGAAGAAAATTGTACAAACTATACAATTACACTGAAATGATTGGGCCCCTCGCCTATCAATGAATTTGGCAGCTAAGGGTGAAGTAAAGCTCTGGGGTTGATTTGAATGCGACGGTACAGCGGAAATGAAGGTAGAATCTGTACCGTTTCGCAGTCTAGCTATTACATTTGTACGGTTGTGGCAGATAGCTTGCAGCATCAATCCTACAGTCACACAAAGTGTACATCAATCTAAAGTAGCTTGAAAAAAGTATGTGGCAACACATGACTGCAGATCTCAAGCAGACTGTTTCATTTAAGATTTTCAAATCAAGGTAGTTGGATTTCGCTTAGATGTCTGATACAGTTACATTAACTTCGAACCGTTTCAGGTGACTGAGAAATTCATTTGTCTGTCACCTGCGGTGTGACTATAGAGTCTGCAGCATCAGCCCGTTAGTTCGCCATAGCTGGCTGATACGCTTTATTGTTTGAGCATTGCATAATATTCCAAATGTGTGGTGGATTAGCCAGTGATTTTTCCAGGACCATTTTGAGACCCAACCGTGACTACTGCAGAAAGGCTGTCAATAACACTGGAAGTTAATGCATTTTGCAATAACAAACTTATTCGGAAAAATCTAAGGACAGTGCCGTAATGGAACCAATGTAGAATAAATCTTTGTTGAAAACGGGCTACGAAAAACTGCTTCACTCTTTCAGTTCGAAGTGGTAAGCGCTTAAGTATATGTGAAACTCTGATGAGATCGTGGGAGATATGCCGTCACCAATACAGTACCATAACTATCCATACTGATAGCCTCTCTGCATAGCTTGTAGACTAGTTACACGTTATTGAGCAATCCTGTTTGGAACTTAGTACAATATCTCCGCGCAAGTGGGAGTGTTAGTGACACCTAACCCCGACACCAATATGTGAAAATGCAAAAGCCGCCTGAACCGATGTTTTACCGAATACATTTTCACCAAGCAGACGACATGCAATATTTCACCATTTTATAAAAATGCATTCATAATAGTAAAACTTCTCCTTAGATCTCATTGTTGTTTTCCTTGAATTCTGCAAAGAACCGTATGTTTACCCATTAAATGCTACACATCAGATTTAGCAACACCATCAACCATCAAAAGCGATCAGGAAACTGTCTGTCGAAGCAACGAGTATCGGACACCATATTTTCTGTTGTCGGACCCAGATAGGAGAATGCCTTCTAATGAGACTCTAAACATTCTCAATATAAGACGAACTACATGCTGGTTCATGACCATTTTGCTAATAGTTTGAATACATGAGTAACGTTGGTTGAGCTGCAACTTGGTGGATAACAACTGGGACGCCCCATTCACGCGGATAGTAAGGCAGGTGGGTAGTGCTAAGCTTAAAATTTACTTATCGAACATAGCTCAATAAATATCCACCCCGCGTAACATGAGATGACAAAGTTCAGCACCAAAAAGGTCTATCACTCGAAACGATTAATGGCAGAATGACAGCAGTGGAGTAACTTCCAAGGATTAGATGAAAATAGTTCGGGTATGTGTGTGAGAACTCCAGAGTAACTGCATATAGGTTCGTCTCTTGTTTAAAAACTTGAAGGTGAAATGTAGCGAATTGAAAGTAACGGTTTTACGGATGGTCAGTCGCATGACGTTTCAAAGTTGCAAGGCAGAAGGGAATAAGGATAGGACAACGGAAACAACAGTATCCTGATAGCATTCTAGCTTGAAAGCAAACGAAACGCACCTTTTGAACGATTCGGCTTTTCTCCAGTAAAAAATTGGTTATTTTTGCACCAACGATGATGGAGCTGGAATCAGGACATCGAAAGTAAGGAGGGCCATCAATAAGAGTGGTTAAGTGTGTTAAGTATGGTACGCCTACTAATGGACCTTTAGCAATTAAATGCATGAAGACCGCTTACCTTCATGGCGGTACTATAATGGTTCGCTGTTATGCGACAGAATAGTGGCCCAATTTGCCGCGTGATAAAGTCAGGTGTTTTGAAGCTGTTAGTGATCCCGATGAATGTCTAGAATCGAGGTTTCGTGTGAGGTAAAGCTCTACGTAGTTGACTTCATATGGCGCCTATATTTCAGTGAGACATTCATGTACAGAAACCAGTGGTAAATTACAATCATCTATTGGATAAATTTCCCAGTTGGTTTAAAACTAGTTATTCCGAATGCAAAGAAATTAACAAGTGTAAAAATTGTTCAGTTACTTTTCGCGCGATAAACAAAGAGAGCAAGTAAACAAGAAAAAGCATTTGCTTTTTCATATTGATTAAGGCTGTTGGGGACCACTAATTATGAACTATGAACTTATGAACTATTAACAACAACTAAGCGTAAGCTTAGGCGAAGGCAGTCTCTAAAAATATGAACAAGGTATAATAAACCACTGTATAAGCACACTGAAAGTTTTTCATGAAGATCCGATAAACGGGGTGCAAAGACGGCAGCTGTGGTATGGTCCTCGACTAACATGGAACTGTCTTTCGGTCAGCATCTGCTTAGTAAGATAAGTCTAACTTATACTGGTCCTTTATTCAGGTTGGGTTACGTGATAGCAAGCTGCTGAACCCCTTCATAACGAATCCAGAATCTAACTTGTTAGATCAAACTTTTGGATAATGGAATTCACTATGTGTGGGTGCGGTCGTTTCCATTAATGTTGTATCTGTAATTACTTGCTATATACAAACGGGAGACAAAAAGCCCGATTTTACGCAAATCGGGCAACACAATATATATTCGACTTAAGCTGCTGTCCTAACGATTGAAAAGACTAAGTTGCTCTTCAGTGTGAATCGCAATCCTCTTTGAGGTTGCCCGTCGAAATCCATTCACATATCGAGTGCTGCAAAATGGCCCTCCAGTGCTATGCTTTATTTGCTACACAGATTTATTTCCCACTTCTTTCCTAAGCATTGCAGTTATCGGTGTATTGAATGAAAATTCACCTTTACTTTTTCTCCCTCATCTCTTATACTACACCATTTAAATACGTGTGATGAGCCCAGCAGAAGCCGCTAGGACAGGATATGTGGATAGCGATCGATCTAGCACGGCATACTTCGTGCACTTCACTTTTCTCCTTAGCCTTGAAAAATCCGTGTGGAAGTACGACTGAACGGTTGGCACCAGAGGGGATAATTACAAGACTTAGTGGCCGGATTTTAAGTAAAATAGCTTGAAATCCTCGTTACTGTTAGCGATGACAGAACTAGACGTATCACATGAACAAGCATGAGGATCTGTGCTAAACTATTTAGCATACTCTTGGGCTACTTATCATTAGGATCATCGGATGTATTGTGGGAGTTCTCTGCCCCAAGGATTCTCCACGAATTTTTGCTTTTCACGATATGGTGTCAAAAGGTGGCTAGGGTTTTATAGCAATGAAGATCCCGATTCTATCCAACGTCAACTAGATTGTTTTTAAAAATGGTAACAGAAGAACCTACACAAGTTTAGAGCAGCCAAATATAAGGTGTGTAATATACACAATTAACCATCGAAGATACGCAAACTGATAAACCACATCTTGTATTCAGCTTTACTGGGGGAGCGACCTCTAGATATTTGTTCAGGAAGACCTCGCACGTTTCAAACAATCCGAAAAAGCATGGAAAACCAAAAACTGCATGCTGGCATTGTGCACAATGTTTGGTTGGTATCGCCACTCCATTTTCGGTAGATATATATGCAGTCCCTTTTGGAATACGCCGTCAGAGTCGAATCTGTGCGCGGAGGACTACCACCCTGCACTTGAGACTTCATAACGGAGTACATCTGCGATCACTAGAATCATCTTCCACCTGCCCTACCAACATGACTAAAATCCGTCGGAATATATAGCAGTCGGTACTTTGCATCTCCCATGAGACCTCAAAGAGGTTTACCACATTTGAGGAACCACAATCACGTTTACCGCCGCGTCCTATAACACAGCCACAACGACAAGCTGAGATACTATAATCTAAGGTTGGCCACAAAGTATAGACGTCCAAATTGCAATCGAGACTTTCCCGCCTTTTAAGTCTGCCAGTCTTGAAATGTCGTTCCCCGCGTACGTTTTCTTTGCCCCAGGTTAAAAGATATTACTTTGTTAACTAGCAGTCTAGATAACCCAAATACTCAACTTCTAACCAGGTGAACTTAATGGTTATTACCAAGAGAACAACTTACAGCGTTTACCAGCTCACAGTGAACTGCACCAACGTGCTTTTCACTGATTTTCTAATTGTATGTTAAACCGTCCTAGGGATCTGATAAGTAATAGGTTTCCCAGTTCTTTTTTTACTACTGTTCGGTTTAGTTAATGTGTATGATTAGGTATGCACAACGCACCTATTTCCTGATCGTTAAGAGCGAATTGGCACAGCAATGAATTAGGTTAGTCAACAGAAGTGAACCAACCTAAACCCCGAAACCGGCTTTTGTCATCGAATGTGTATATTCTCTCAAGAATACTACTTTAGTTAAGTTTAGTAATACCGGTATGAAACTGCAACTGTACAACAGCATTAACACTAACCAAATCGGAAAGTCAATGCGTATGAGCCCAGCTTCACTTACTTCATGAACTGTATCTCGACATATTTTCCGAATCTAGAGGAATTGTCGTTACGTACAGTCGTGGCATTTCCAAAGCTTTCCAGCAACGGTGTACTATCCAAAATCCGCTTTGCCACAGAATTGCAAGCACTGCTCCCTGGATCACTTGCCGCTGCCAGATAACGAGTGATTCGTTTGAAAGCCTCGGTTTTCCCCGATCCAGACTCGCCACTGTTATGGAGGAATTGGCAACCGCGTCATAGTATAAAGGTTAGTTTTGCTTTCAGCAAACAGGCACAGAGTGATAACCTTGCCCCCCTATCAAGACCAAAACACTGACCATTGAATAATGTATGATGAGTCATCACTACCAAGGCTAAACCTCTTGTTTACTTTCGAGTTATTGCTGCCAATCGAGTGACACTAACGTTGATGCACAATTATCATATCCACATTTAATGCTCCTACTTGAGTTAAAGCTAATTCATGAAAATGCCAACAACCACAAGTGTATGTAACTTAACACTTTACCAAACAAATCAGGTAGCTAGGACAACATTGGGAGGTTCAGAATGTACTACAGGTTTATGATATATATCCAATTTACTGGATAGCTGCATGAATGTCACATATGGAGAGCTACAGAGCGAATGTAGAATGTAAATATGGTAAATAAAAGATTTCAAAGAAGATGTAATGCGGCTTATTAAGCTTTATCTAAAGCACAGATCGCTTTACGTTTATGTTAGTTGTGCTGCTTAGCTGCCTGGGTAAAATTTCCTGATCATTATTGTTGAGAAATTAAAACCATCTTCGGTTAATAAATATGAAATAAAATGAATTATTTTGACGAAATACAGCAAGTGTTAGAATGGTTTATCCTATGCAGTCAACAAGCTTCCAGACGTGTCAAGCTGAACTGGACAGATTAGCACTGGCTCTCAGTCGCTTTGGGCTTGGCTTTACATCATAGAAGTGCAAAGCTTTCCCCCAAGATTGGCATTGATTGCCCTTTGCGCTGACCCTTATTGGGGATCTGCTAGAAATTGTTCAGAAATTCAACTACATGGGAAGTTGTATCAGCGCCCTTGGGATCAAAGATAAGAGCACGAACCGTAGATCAAAAACTCGAGGTGCTTTTGCTAACCTTCGCCACATATGGCGCTGGCACGACATCGCTCTCGCCCTGAAGGGTAGAGTGTACAATGCAGCGGTACGTTCGACCTTACTGTACAGTTGCGAAACCTGGCCCCTTTAGATCGGCGGACACAAAGAGGCGAATCAAGTTCGTTCCCGGGTGCCTTCGTACTTTGACTCACATCTGGTGGAAGCACCGTGTGAGCAACGAGCGTGTTCGACGCCTTGTTTACGGCACAGGAAAAGGAACAGAACCGCTCAGCACCGTCATTTCACGCACCAGGCTCCGATAGCTCGGCCACGTGTTACGCATGCCAGCCCACCGGCTCCCGCGACGTACGTTGTTTGCGCACCCGGGGTGTGGATGGATGAGCAGGAGCGAAGGCTGAGAGGAAGGAATGCCTTCACTTCGAAGCTGGCCTCGGTTGGAGTGTGTCGGCTCCCTGGTTGGGGTCCGAAACACGATGAACACCTTTGGCTGGATACCATTGCCTACATGGCCAGGAGCTGACCACAGTGGCGTTCGTGCTGTGAGTTTCTTTGTCCCACCCCATCCCTTTTAGCCTTCTCATCCAACCAAGAACTTATTCCGTAGCATAATATCATTTTACATAATAAGTTTTTTTTTACCTAGTAGCCGGTTGGTGGCTTACCGGAACGATGACCATCCTTTGTTGGTGGCTTAGCTAGCATGCAACCGTTGCATTTACTTCTTCTTTCTTTTTTGTATTGCGGCACAGTAGCTGAGTTGTTTTAGACCTTTAGCTAACGTGCATAATAATAACAATAAAATAATAATATTAGTAAACATAATTCAGTCAACACGCAAAAGAACTGAGTTGTGGTTACTTGTAAATCAGTTGGCTACTCATACATAAATTTACTCGGGTAATCAAAAGCTAATTCACTGTGCGTTCACTAAACTTCCGCCATGATTACAGGTATCACTGGACTGTGCCTGGCACTGTTGAGGAAGATCCCGTTTAGTTAGTTATTTACAGTTAAAACTCTAAGCTGCCTATAAGGTAGCCATCGAAATAAAATTTGACCAGGTTAAATCTTCCAGAAGAGCGCAATTAAAGGCGAAATACGCACTGTAAAGCAAGAGCGGAGTGGCACAAGGATGCTACAATCTTGTTCATCTCACGTTACTCCTTTTTCATTTTATGCCTTAACTTGTTATAATAGTTCGAGGTCGAATTACTAAATAACAAATTCGTTGCTAGCAGCACTAAATGATTCTACCTATCGTTGAATCACACGATAGAATTAGACAGCAAAATTCAATGCGCAGACACTGATTTTTCCTTACTGAAGGAAATTTAGCCAAAATTGTAAACAAAATATATTAGGAGGTTTGGAAGTTTTGGAATTAGTGCAGTGATAATTTAGTAACTTATGCCCAACTAACCACCATTTTTCTTCCTATGACGTTGAAAGAAGACAGTCTCATTCGTCCCGCGTCGGTGTTCACTTAAACTTACTTACCCATTTTCTGATAATTTACACACAGAAAGACTGACAGATTACAGGTCTAGAACAATACTACTACAGAAAATGTATTGTAACACTGTATCAGTTGCTTCAGGTACGGCGCGCGCTGAATTACTACTTTAACATGCTTTTGTCTGATAAAATCTACCAGCTTTTCCCATCAAGTTGCTGTGAATATTTTCGGGTAAGACAAGCCAAAATCTAAGAAGCTGGCTTGTATTCTTGTTGTTCTATTGAGCATAGGTTGTTTATATGTTGCAGGCCTCGTAGGTGCGCAATCATAAACAGCAAGCTTCAACTTACGAAACATCATATTTTGCGTCTACATGCCTGCAAATATAAGTCGATGTGCGTTGAATAGGCCCTGAATTTGATATCAGTGATGAAGCTCAGTTTAACTGTGGTACATTTGTTTTTATGCAAAACTAGACAACCAACCTACACTTACCTATTTATTACTTTCTAATGACTACATCTAGCAGGCAGTAAACCATGAACTAGAAACCGAGTAGGAGTTTTACCGAACAGTGGAAAAAACTTTTTGCACAAATTTATCCTCTCGGGTTAACTTCGTGCATGCTTTTTTCTGGCTTAACAATGTGCATGCAGACAGTAACACCGGACATATAAGTCTCAACTTCTCAAACAAATTCAGTGTATTTACTTGGACGAGCTGATGACCTACTTGGTCCAACGGTTCACTGTGTAGGATAAAAAAACAGCAGCTTAAAAAGACCAGAAGACTGCAAAATGCAACAATGTCAAAACATTTCGGCGTAAAGCGTGCGCCATCACTTTTCCAGATATCGAACTTAGTCATGCTGTTGTGTGGCATTTAGCACTAAGATGAATGTCTAATAAACTGCCGAACGTCCCGATGTTTGGTGCATTCACTACATGTGTTGGTATTACATGCCTGTGTGAACAGATTCTGTCAGAGTAGACATGTCTTCAGTCCAAGCGGGAGTGTTGGGCTGCTAGTTTAATCTCATGGCTTTGGTATTATTTGTAAGGGAGCTACGATCAGCACTTGTTTATATGAATGAGCACGCTGTGTTAGTGTCCTAAATGTGAAACTAAGATCCACGTGATGTCGTCGGCATTCTAAGGAGAACATAGCGATTGAACGTAGGCGCTGCTGGCAACCGAGACCAGATAATCCTCATAAGGCCTTGGTAGCTCTTGTTAGGAGACGAACGTCTCGTTCTAACCACGGAAACTGGCTTAGACTGCATGCTTGACGTGGGGCGAACATACAAGTTTCTCAATAGGGCCAGTAACTGTCACTAAAAAGTACCAAGAGCTCCCCTCAGTAGCTGTAAGCTCAGATTTGTCACTCTTGAACATAGACCTTGTAGTGACCTGGAGATTTCCCCCGCGTGATTGTGTTAGTCAATCTACAAAAGTATAAAACAATAGTTTTCTTATGTACCAGGGAAGTAGGCGGTTCGCTTGTTCGAATGGTGCTCATGTTTGTTTGCTTCACGCACACTCGCACGGACTTCCGCTCTCGCCTTCGGAGTCGGAATTATCGCGCTCAGCACCCGAGCATATCGGCGCTAGCTAGTTCTCTATTAGTGTCGCATTTTTAGCCTTAGATCGTAACAACCTTTTTAATTCGTGTCTGTCACCCGTGGAATGTTCTCCCAGAATCGGTCGTCTCTGCACCGACACTAACAGTATTTAAAAGACGGTTGGACGATGCACTCATCCACTTACACTTTGTTACTTAACACTACGTCTCCATCCTACACCTGGAGTATACCATGGAATTATTTGTTGTTAATTGCGGGTGCTGTGAATCTAAGAGGATCGCAGGACTACAGCGGAGCAAACGATAAGTCCTTATTTTCATACTTAAATTATTAACTATTTTATCATCCTCATAATCATTATTGTTATGTTGACATCCTCACCAACTATCCAACGGGACTTGTAAAGCAACGCTTCTTAACCCGTATAAATTCATCGTTCATTGTTCAATAAATCATTTCCCGACTTGTTTCGGTGTAATCTTTTCGCACATTTGTGGTTGGAAGTTCTTCTGCATACGCGGTACATAGCGCCTGACCGACGCGGTATAATATTCTTGAATATTTATACCTAGGTCCATTTCACTGATTACGTGCTGCAGGTTGTGATATACGTAAGAAAACTTGTTACATAGCGTAAGCAAGTGACACTTTGCATGGAGATGGTTCAGTCATGCTTTTGCCAAAGTCGTTTTGAAGATAGTCACGGACAGATGTTGAGCGAACAGTTCTCCACTTCTTACCGTCATCCACAAGTATCTGCATTGGGGGCTGAATATTAGCTTGGGGCATTAATACTGAATAAAGACAGTGATTGGCTGAGAATGGATCCCTGGAATATCTCCTAGCCACAAATAGGCTGTCAAAATTTTTGCCCCCGCCAATGTTTACTGTGACCGTTCTCTCGTGTGGGTAACGTTCCAACCAGGTAAGTAGTGTGCCAGGTATCTGTTAACCATTAAGCTTTTGGATAACAGAGTGATTGAATCTTGAATGCTTCGGGAAACTCTAACTATATCACATCTTAGGGATCTGTTTCGTCAGACGCCTAGTCGTTAAGTACCGGGC